ATTGTATAAATTTATATCGATTAAAACGAATACTGTTATTATAATCATCTCTTATAAAATATATTTGTAAACTATTAAAATGGATTAAAAAAAATTAAAATAGATTATATTAATATAATTAACGTATATTTTAAAAAAAAAAAAAGAAGAAAATTTGAAGAAATTAATGTCATAAATGAAATTGTATTTTTTTTTATTATTTTTATATATTGTATTGTATAAATTTATATCAATTAAAACAGATATTATTATTACAACTATCCTTTATAAAATATAATATAAAATATTATAAAATATATGAAATATTATGTGTATTTAACGCAATAGGAATATTGCTTATTTTTAAGGTGGGAGGAGTGACATTAAGCTCTCTCCCAACATCATTAAATTGAACAAAAAAGAACTTGCTGCGCTAAGCAGGTAAAACCTTTTTTTAGTCAGTAGAAGTTAAGCTTGCATCGTGCAAAGTACTAATAAAGTTTTTATATAAAAAATAAAAAAATCGTTTTTATTAAAAATTGTCACTTATATATATATATATATATGCATATATAATATATATATATATATATGTTATATATAGAATAATTTAATTTACAAAGCATTTAATAAAATAGGATTTTTTATTAAAATATATAACTCAGTTACATATGAATGTTGTTTGCAATTTCATCGCGCATAGAAATTGCATCAATATTTTGATTCTCACCAGCAACTTCTTCATAATGACAATCCTCCACGATAATTTACTTCAATCAGGTCAAGTCCATCATTCAGACATATATTATGCATTATGCATGCTACAGGTATTGTTTGAACACAGTGTTCAAGATTCAACCTAAGAACGTTATCAAAAATTTAGCGCCAACGTATTTTCAATGCACTAAATGTAACATACATTCAATAACAGTACGAGCCTGTTAACGGCTGCAATCTTTTATATGGAGTGAGAATTGTTCAGATAAAAATTCCTTATTACTGGAATAAACGGCTTGTAAATTGATTGATGTAAAGGACTTTCGGTTCGGAATTGGTCACGAAGTCGTATAGGCACAGCTATTGGTATATGTGTTCCATCAATGGCACCTAATGCACGATTAAAAATTGTAGCACCGGCTCGGTTAAATTTTGTACAAATGCCTTCAAATTCACTTTCAGCTGGATATTTAATAACCAATGATTTTAATGAAAGGAACCCTTTCAAGCACTTGTAAACAACATGCCTCACAGTATATCTCGAAATTCCAAATGAAGCTCCTGTTACACGATAGCTTGCACCCAGTGGCGACGCGTGCCCTATCTGGAAGGGTGTGCGGCCCTTCTAGAATGTTGTTTTTACATGTACCACTTAAATTAAAAATGACAAATTGATATATATAAAATGTTTTATTAATAATAACTATATTACATTAAGCAACAATATATTCACAAAATAACATTTAATAATTCATTAACAAAATAACATAAAACATAATAACATAAGAATTAATAATTTATATATAAGTTTAATATTATATCAGTATGGAATAAACACAACTTTTCACATATTTCTTATAACATCAAACCAACTTTTTTCAAACACAAGAGTTTGTACTTAGAACCATATATGTTTATGCAGTGTTCAAACAAAATCGAACACACTTGCAACGTATAAATGTGCGGCAGCTACTCCGCACACAAAGTGGATATTATTCGCTGAGCTAAAAAGGGTGAGATGAAATTTGAAACAAATATAGGGTGATGTGAGCTGCAAACTTTAGCCTCACATTTAACCGCTTCGGCAAGTCAACATGTTGAATTGTTATATATGCAGTTGATATTCTAATAGAACAGAAAATTACTCTCATACAATTCTCAATCTCTATTTCTCATATTTTAAGCAAGAGCACACGCACATTATTTTGTTCATTCTACATTTGTGCACACTTATGACAGAAATTTATGAATGCAATTGCATAAAGGGGAAAAAAGCAAATTAATTGAGTTTTCATAGACAATTATATAATTATTTTTGCTAAAACTTTAATCTTTAAAAATATATATATGAAAATGTAACATGAATTCTCGATGTAAAAATATTTAATAAATTTATATATATTATTTTACAATTTGCAAATTATGTTAGGGTGTGGCCGCACACCTCCGCACCGTAGAGTAGTCGTCACTGCTTGCACCACAGCCAAGTCAATATAAAAATACAGTAATAATAAATCGGTCACTCATGGATCACTTTAGAAACCTTGCACCGTAATTGAAAACTCTTTTCAATGCTATTACTGTAAGCCTTAAATGTTTTTTTATTATCGAATTATCCTTTTTTACAACAGCTCTAAATATTTCAGAGGGATGTCCTCTTTGGAATAAAAGCTCGCGCCAAATAGTCAAACTGATAATTTATGTTATTTACTGAAATTATTTTAGAATTACCTTTGGATATTCTGCTAAGAATCTCTCTTTCAATGTATTATGATGATTATATATTTCCCTTAATTCGCAAAATTGCGTAAATAAAAATGCTTCATCAATTTCTACGTTTACCGCTATCGCAGATTATGTAAACAAAATACTGAAATAAAAAAACATATTCACAGCTGATATAAGCTGTCAAAATGTAACTCGCACACTTTTTTGGGCTAAATGGCTAAATGTGTGCAGTGCAACAAATCCCAAGAACGGTCCTATTTGGTTTAGCATCAACTTAGCCTAACTCGCACACGTCCTTAATGTGAAAAATATAAGGAAGGAATTTTATAAAATTACTACCCCTGCAATAGGAATGACGATTGGTGGCATGTGGTGTTATGCTGTCCATAATAGCGTAAAATATATACAGGAAATCAAGGGTTTGGAGGAACCTGTAGGATCAAACCAAAATGTGTGATCAACGTTGGAGTCAATTCTTTGCAAGTACTAAACACTTTAATCCAGTACTTATGTTGATTCTATCAAACAAGAAAACCACTGAGTTCTTGAACCCAGAGATTTCAACGATTATCCAAATTATCGTAATCACTGAACACTTAAATCCAGTGTTAAGGCGCTTATGAGACATAAATTTAGCACTTGAACTAAATTTACAAAGTTAATAGAATAAAGAAATGAATCAATAACGAATGTGGTTTCGCATTAATTGAATTGTCAAAAATTGAATTGTGCTTTTTATTTAAAAATTAATAATCAATTACAACAAATAAATTAACTAAAATAACCTTGAACATGCCCGCCAAACAATGAACTTGTTACAAACTGCAAGAGTGCATTTTCTTGCAGACGAAATTTGACGCTTTTGTTTGCTCATGAAAACATGACGTGTTTTTGGGCATTGCATTGACAAAATTATTTTTTACAACAAAATATATTTTAAATGAAATTATTACAACATAAAATAATATAAATAAATTATTCATACAAAATAATACAAACAAATTATTCATACATAGTAATATAATATAATATTTAACATTCTCCCCAGCGTTGAACGACCGTTCAACAATATAAACCTCTAGCTATCAGGTAGTCAGTCCGACTATATGTCGACGACGAAATCTCGCGACTGTCGATGTGGCATGGGTATAGGTGTCGAGCGGGTAGCGTAATGTTGACAGTGTACTGTTGCCGCTGTAAGCATCTGATGTCTTCATAGGGGATTGTAGCCTTAATTCTGAGATTTTACCAAGACTAATGTATGAATATCTTGTGCTTGCAATTATTTGTTGTCCTTGCACGGAAACGAAGTTGTGTTTAAGCAAGCAGTCTAGGTCGATCGTTGATAAGCCTGAACCTTTTAGATTTAGTGGTATGATTTCCTTATTACATACTGCAGTTGCTCGTGAAGATGTTGATGTCGCATAAATCCATTGATTTTTGTTATTCAATGGAATCCAGGTCAGAGTGTTGATAGTGTGTTTCAACCGACAGTTTGGTATTGTATTGTTGTTGAATAGGTTGATCTCACACGCACGTACTTCGGAACCAAAATTGTATCGTATGCGGACGTTGGCACAAAGAAATTCCCCTTCCTTTATGGTCTCACAAAGACTTAAATCGGATTTCATAAAAGGAAAATATTGATCATGATGCGTATTAATAGCCAAAATAGAACTGAATGAGTCAATTACTGCCATGGAGTCATTTAACCAATTCGGGACTGGAATTAATTGAAACAATTCAAATCGCTCATGTTCAATCAAGGGTAATGTTATACTAAAAATTGAATGCTGCTGTGTGATTCCACTTTTAACCATGTAACGGCCAAAATTTTGTCAACCAAAAATTTCATCGTTACAATGCCGTGGATATAGCTGCCTACAAAACTCACCGCAATCCTCTGCCACCAACAACATAACTTGACAAACTCTGAAATTATATGAAATAAAATTTGATATGGTGTAAACTAATATATTGAAAGAATATTATACACACCTTGAACTATCCTTTTAAATATTTATGTTGCTGGAACTTTATTTAATATGAAATAATTTTAAATTAATTTTAAAATAATTTCTCACTGTCACTTAAATAAACACGTTGACCGGCACAACACTTTATTGAAAAAAAAAATAAATAAGATCGAAAGAAGATATTAATAAAGAGACCTGTCAAACTAAAAAAGCTTTTGTGCAAAGGTGTGGAACTAAAGCAAAGCTTAGTCGAGAACAAATCCTAACTTCTATATAAATAAGAGATAGAATTCGCTGTAAAGCGGGATTTTCACTGGTGCATTGCAGTGGGATCAGCTAATGAGCTTTGATCAACGGTCGTTGAACTTTAACGTAGCTACAGCTGATACCGTTGACCGTTGACGATATAAAAGTGCGAGCACCAGGAAGAAGCCTTCTTGTTGTTCGGTTCTAAGCAGTGACATAGCTTTATTTGATGACTATCGAGTTCGACAGCGAAGGTGAGCAAGTGATGACTGGATTTTTTTTTGAAAATTATTTAAGTGTAATTGACGGTGACCAACTTAGCTAATAAAATTTCAAAATTTTGAATATAAAAGAAAACTTAAATATTTTTACAAACTGTTTAAAATATAAAAACTAACTACATTGAATTAAAAAAAATTGTTAAAGAAAATTACATAAATGCAAGTATTAAAATAAACTAAATTGTACAAAAGAATAATAAATTGTACAAACTAAGCTAATAAAAAAATCTGGATTTTGAATCTAAAACAAAACTTAAATATTTTTACCAACTGTTTAAAACATAAAATTTAAATACATTGAACTAAAAACTTGTTAAAAGAAAATTACTTAAATGTAAGTATTAAAATAAATTAAATTGTACAAACTAAGCTAACAAAAATTCTAGATTTTGAATATAAAAGACAACTTAAATACTTTTACAAACTGTTTAAAAATATAAAAATTAAATACATTGAATATAAAATTGTTAAAAGAAAATTACTTGAATACAAGCATTAAAATAAATTAAATTGTACAAAAGAATTTAAATGTCAATGATAGTTACAGAACTTAAAATATCGTTTGTAAATTAGTGAAAATTAAATTGTAATAAAGAGATTTTTTTTTAAGAAATAAAAAATACAAAAGAGAACAAATACCATTTAACACGGTGGAAAAATTACTTATATAAAAGAAATATGATTTAAAATTAAATACATTGATTATAATTTTTGTTGGTTCGCAATATTTCGTGTGCAAAGACGCTTGACTGTTAACTCCCACAGATACAAGTGAATATTCATAAGCGGCAAGTGGTTTTAACAGTAACCTAACGTCTCCGACCCCTGGACGCTTTAACAGTGTACAGGGAAGGGCGTGTTGTCTACGACCTACAATACAACACACGTAGCTTTAACAGTCACGTGTGATTGTATTATATCGTGTCGAGTATCGAGAGGGGTTCAGCTGAATAGAACGATTTAGATTACCTCCAATTCAGTCCTTCAGAGTTCAACGGAAGTGACAGGGTAAAAAATAAAACAAATTTCTTGTGAGGGCCTTGGACAAGGCTGAGCTATCCCAGCTCTAAACGAACCGCCAGAAAAGGTTCATTACATCCTTCATAAGTCTGTAAAGGGATATTAGCTCATCTTCTGGCATCGGTAATTCTAATGATGGTTTATTTATTGACAAGCTTTATGTAGCGACGTTATTCCTGTGTTTAGAGTTGATGATTCCGTCCAATAAAGACTTAAGTCGTAATAAACTAATAAATTCCATTCAGTAGTTGATATGGCAGCTATGTCCAGATTTTCAAAGTGAATACCCAATTTCGACCTAAACCTTTTATTATCAATTGGAGATCCTATTACTATTGGCAATATCAGTAATAGTGTGAGTAATACAGAACAGTATAAATTGGTCGGCAGTTTTCTACGTTTTGTCTTGGGCTCTTCATACGACTCTTTTTTATCTTCAACAATTACGTTGTCAGGAGGTATTTCGTGATCAGCTTCAGCCAATGTTGGTTGATCATCTGTATTAACAGGCAGTACAGCTATTCGATGAATTGGGCGTTTAAAAATGCCTGTCGATGTTTTAACGTCAGCTACTCGGATACGTCCATCTGTACCCTTGTACACATGTACAATTCGTCCCAAGGGCTGAGACGTTGTCTTCTTTGATTATAACCATGACTCCTAACTGTATGTTAGCAGATTGTGTTTTCCATTTGTTGCGTTGTTGCAGTTCCATCAAATATTCGTTAGGCCAGCGTTTCCAGAAATTATGTTTTAACTGGAAACTAGGTTCCAACGTGACAATAGCGTGTGTTTTCTGGTTTTGGTCGGCTGTCCACTTGAGTTGTAAGAGCTTCTCCAATTAATAAGTGTCCTGGAGTTAATGCTATCAAATCAGTTGGATCATTAGACATTGGAGTCAATGGTCGTGAATTTAATATCGCTTCAATTTCCACCACCACTGTTTCGAGTTCTTCATACGTCAATGATGCTGTTGAAACGCTGCGTAGTAACAAATATTTTGCGGACTTCACGGATGCTTCCCATAAACCGCCAAAGTGTGAAGCCCTTGGTGGAACAAAATGAGAGTTTATTCCTGTAGTACTGCAAGCAGAGATTATTGCTTCTTGCCCTTCATTGGAATAAATGCTTTCCTCTAATTCTACTAACTGGTTTTTGGCGCATGGATGTACCGCCTTTGTGGCGAAACAACAAAAGACAGCAATATATGCCTTTGTTGGCTTTTTGCCCCTCACCTTGTAGTAGATCCAAAATAGTCCGCAATAGTCTACCCCAGCATTAATGAAGGGTCTTGCAGGAGTTATTCTTGATTCTGGTAGATTCCCCATAATTTGTTGGCATAGTTGCGGACGTGCTTTGTTGCATCGAATGCATCGCTGAACCGTTGCTCGGGCTGTTGATTTACCTTTAATCGGCCAAAACCGTTGCCATACTATACTCAATAGTGCCTGCGGGCCACAATGCTTGTTTTCTTCGTAGACCATCACGAATAATAATTTCGCCAATGGATCATTGTATGGGATCAGCATTGGGTGTTTAGAATCGTATGGTAATGATGAGGCTTCTAAGCGTCCTCCTGCTCTAAGAACATTTGCATTATCTATGAGATAAACTGCTGATTGAACTAGATTTATCAATATGGCCTTGTTTCTTCAGTTGTTTGATTTCTTCATGAAAATCATTACCCTGAATGTGACATATTATAGTGATTAATGCTGCTTCGAATTCGTTAGCACTAGGTGCTATATGTTATGTATGGCACGTGACTCCTTTGATATTCTTGTGTTGTTAATGAATCTAAGAACATATGCTACTATCCTTGGTAACGTCTTGAAAGAATTCTTGTGCTGAATTCTGTATATTAAATCTGCGTCATTGCATTGAGTTGCTACAGCATAACCTTTTTCTTCTCCAGATCAACTGGAACTTGTAATGATGATGAAAACATTGGTGGCCATACTTCTTGTCTTCCATGCAGAAAGAACGGTTATTAAAATCAAAGTGCACATGTTGACAATGCCTTTGCTGAAAATCCTCTTGATAACACATCAGCTGGGTTGTCCTTTAACCTAACATTAACCAACCAATTGTTTGAATTCTTGCCACGCTGTTAGCTACAAATGTTTGAAATGATGAGGACTGTGAATTCATCCAAGACAAAATAATTTCTGAATCAGTCCACAAAAATACTGGCTGGTCCTTTTCCTGAAGATCACTTTTGACTCTTGCTGAAAGTTCCGCTGCTAGGACTGCCACACATAACTCTAGTCGCGGTAATGTTTGTTTTCTGAGTGGTGCTACTCTTGACTTTGCACATAATAGTCGCATTATTATTCTACCGTCCTTTAAAATTGCTCTGACATATGCTGCAGCACCAAACGCCTTTTCAGATGCATCAGCAAAAATGTGTAGCTGTGTTGATGAGGGTACCTTGCCTCTGAAGATATGTCTTGCCACTTGAAGGTTTTCAAGAGTACTTATGTTTTCTCTAAATGTTGACCATGTTGTACGAAGATCTGTAGGAAGTGGTTCATCCCAAGATAATTTCAACTGCCATAAGTGTTGTATGAAAATCTTTGCTCTGACTATTACTGGAGCTAATAAACCAAGTGGGTCCAACAGTCTAGCTAAATCAGAACTAACGACTCTCTTCGTGATTATTCTTTCAGTAACCATTTTGACCTTAATTCCAAATAAATCCGCCTTGGGCAACCAAAATAATCCCAGCGTTTTGATTGACTCGTCATTATCATTAGTAAAATCTAGATTTACCTATTGATCATCTTGAGAAATGTTTTTCAAAAGTTGAGGATGGTTTGCGCTCCATTTCCGTAGATAAAAATGATGCTTCTTCAAAATATGGATTAGTTGTCTTTGAGCTTCAATAGCCGTAATTAAACTATCTGATCCACCGAACCCATCGCCAACGTAGAAATTGTCACATAGGATTTGAGCTCCTAATGGATAATTCACCTTATTTTCAAATGCTATCTTTTGCAGACATCTTGTTGCTAGGTAAGGAGCTGCTCGAGTCCCATATGTAATTGTGTTTAGCTGATAATAACGAATCGTTGAATTTGGACTGCTTCTGCAAATGAGAAGTTGATAGCGCCGATCTTCAGGATTTATCAAAACTTGACGATACATTTTCTCGATATCTGTGTGAACAAACCGTGGTCGCCTAAAACGAAGCGAAATTGAAAAGAGTTCACTTTGAACTGTCGGTCCGTTATACATTAAATCATTCAACGAGTGTCCAGATGTAGTTTTAGCTGATGCGTCAAACACCACTCGAAGTTTAGTAGTTGTACTATCTGGTTTTAGTACACAATGATGAGAAATGAAATATGTTGGAGTCAACATGGAATCCAGGTTTACTTCAGTCATGTAACCCAATCGCTCATACTCTTCCATAAACACATCATTTTTTGCTAGTCGTCGTTCAAGACTGATAAACCTTCTCCAAGCTGTTTCTTGAGATTCTCCTAACGTCAATGAGTTTTCCAGAAACGGCAACCTTACCACAAAACGTCCTTCTTTATTTGTACGAACGTTCTGAACACAATTAGATTCGCAAAATTTTTTTTCTTTGGATAATGTCCTTTCTGTTGTATTCACCTCATCCATTCGCCATAATCGTTCAATTGCATCTTCTAACGATGAATTATTATCAACAGCCTCCACCCCACCGCCAAAAACTGCACATAAAACTTTTGATGTATCTGTATTTGAAGCAACCATGCCACTGACAATCCAGCCAAGTGTAGAATTTTGCAAGACTGGATCCCCAGTAGCAAGCGTGATTTTACCCTTTTTTAACAGACTGAAATAGAACTCCGCACCGAGTAAAATATCAATTTTCCCTTGTTGGAAGAATGTTGGATCTGCTAAATGAATGCTGTTCGGGACCTTCCATTTGGAAATATCGTAGCTGGAACTTGGTTGAGGAGGAACTATGTTTGAAAGCACAAACGCTTCGACTTCTGTGGTGAACCTCGAGTTAAGGGATTGAAATTTGATGTTAACTCGCTGCGTTGAATTTTTATGCACCTTTCCTATACCTTCTATGTACAATAACGATTTTGATATATTGAGGCTTTTGACAAGACGCTCAGAGACTATGTTCACTTGCGAACCAGAGTCTAGTAATGCTCGGACTTCACTTGTATTTCCATTAGCTGCAGTTATTTTGACTCTTGCAGTTGGCAAAAAACATATTCACGATGACCTGTGGATGTGTTTGCTGTCGCTGTGGTAACTGCAGTATTGTACCCACTTGAAGTAGGTTGAATATTTTGTTCTGTTTGATTGTTAACTTCCAAATGTAGCAACGTGTTATGATTTCTATTACATTTGGTACAACTTCTTGATAAACATTTGTTTACCACATGATCATTTTTGAAACAGTTGAAACAGAGCTGTTGGTTTTTCACCCAATCCAATCGTTGAGATGGCGAAAATTGCAGGAATTTACGGCAATGGTACAGTGGGCGCCTGTCTACATTGCACAGTTTGCAATTGTTGTTTCCTTTGGGAATTGTTACAGCCGACGAAAATGATCTATTTCGGTCTGCTTTAGTTTTTATGGCCACTTTATCTTTATGTTCTACAACTTCCATCAGTTGATATTGTAGCTCTAAACAAGCTAAAAACTCTTGCATGTTTGTATCTCTTTTGGTTTTGCCAGAGATTGCTCATATCTAATAAGCATCTTCCGATCGAGTATTTTTATCAGTACCTGTAACAAAATTGGGTCCCAAAAAGTTGTTTGAACGCCAAGATTGTTCAGTGCTAATAGACACTCTTTCGTTGTGTCGTGTAAATTTTTAACCGCTGCTACGGTTGATGTGCCTGATGGCCCATCACTGACTGATGGCTGCTGAAATGACTGATTAATTTTTCAGCTTCACCAGTCACATGTGATTTCAAATACCACATTTTTTGAGCAGCTGGTAGTGGCTGTTTGTCTACCATTTGTGTAAACAAGTCAAAAAATTGCCTCCATTTTAAGTAATTCCCATTAAAACTTGGGATTGTTACCTTTGGAAATGGCAGTGAGGATCGCATATTTGTTTCTGCTACTGCTGCTAGTTTGTTTTGTAGTTGATCCAATTTTATGGACAGCTCTATCAAACATTGTTGTACCGAATCCTCAATTTGGTAATATTCATCTTGGTTAAATCCTGACGTTAGTGGATTTTCCAAACTTTCTCACAGTTCATCATGCAAACAACCCAGTTGGTTCCATTGTTGCATGATCGTGTTTGGAGTTTTTGCCAAATGTGCTACGAATGCCGAAACTTAACTGCTGAATGTTGATTGTTGACTGCTGCTAGTCCAGTGCTGCTCTCCGTTTCACGGGGTCACCAAAAATGTACGATCAAACCAAAATATGTGATCAACGTTGGAATCAACTATTTGCAAGTACTGAACACTTTAATCTAGTACTTATGTTGACTCTATCAAAAAAGAAAACCACTGAATACTTGAACTCAGAGATTTCGACGATTGTCCTAATTAACCTAGTCACTGAACACTTAAATCCAGTGAATAGGCACTTATGAGACGTAAATTTAGCACTTGAACTAAATTTACAAAGTTAATAGAATAAAGAAATGAATCAATAACGAATGTGGCTTCGCATCAATTGAATTGTCAAAAATTGAATTGTGCCTTTTATTTAAAAATTAATAATCAATTACAACAAATAAATTAACTAAAATAACCTTGATCATGCATGCCAAACAATGAACTTGTTACAAACTGCAAGAGTGCATTTTCTTGCAGACGAAATTTGTCGCTTTTGTTTATATGTACAAACAAAAGCGTATGACGTATTTTGGGCATTGCATTGACAAAGTTATTTTTTACAATAAAATGTATTTCAACCAAATTATTAAGACAAACAAATTATTTAATACAATATAAACAATTATTAAAAGTAAATTAATACAAACAAATAAATTTATACAATTTATTTACAATTCATAATATTTAACATCATATGTTGAAATATGTTAAGCAGTGCACACAACTAAACTTAAAACTATTTTTGTCATGCCTGTTTGTTAATCATTCAATTTGTAGTAATCAATATTTTAAAGGATTACACTGAAATTTTTCGAAGCCTATAGAGTTTTAAAGTTTATTGTGCGCAACATTGCGTTATTTCATTGCATGTGTTTTAATTTAAAAGCAAATAATCAATGCTGCAGGCCATTTCCACTAATCGCTATCGCTATAACTATAATCTCTTCGCTAAAATTCTTAAATAAGCGATTCGTTTATTTTAGGAGAATAAGCGATCATGTGATTCTGCTAACACAATCTCTTCACTAAATTTATCCGGCGATGTAGATAATGCAGAAATGCATTGAAATGTCAAAATAAAAACAAAAATTGTGAACAAATATCAGCTGTTGGAAATATAATTTAAATTTGAAATTTAAAAGCAGATACTGCAGCAAAAAATATTTAGACGTTGTGAAATTTAAATTAAAATTAAATCAATATAACCTTGGTATGTGGATTAGTTGAATAATGGACTATTTAATAAGAAAGATTTTTTTTTCTGGTGATATAAGAGATTCACAGAATCATTTACGTTTCAAAAGTAAATGTTTGCGAAATTCTGATGAGCGTTTTTTTGAAATATTTCGTCTTTCGAAATATTTATGTAAAATTTTTATGGCGGAAATAACTCCGTACATGAAATTTCGAGGGACATACGCTTACTTGTTGCTTTGCGGTTTTTTTGGTCGAGATAAGTTGATGTTTAATAATTGCAAAAAAAGTGAATCCATTGTTTTAATTTATGGGATGTTATCAGCGTTCTGTGGACCAAAGCTTTTTATTAAATGTTTGTTGCGTTTTGTTTTTAAGTCCACGAATTCCATTATAAATATCTGATAATTAAATAATAAATAAAATATATTAAATAATGTATGTGTAAATTTATTTATTTCACTGTTTCATATGCAATTCGTTTATTTTTGGTGCAGTTTCAAAAATTAAAAATAAAATATGAAAAATAAAATACATGCCTTTACATTTGCTGAATACCAAACACACATTCACTACAATACTGCCACAAAATTTTCGTAATATTAATAATTATTTTTTTTAATTTTAAGTTTAAATGCAAGTTTATTTCTATTACAATAAATTAATTAATTAATAATTATGAATATATACTAAATACGTACAAAATTATTGCTCAATTTGTTTAAAAAATAATATTTTCACTTTTAGCGACAGTAAAAACCTAACCGCCAAAAACAATCAAATTAGAAGAAATTTTAGTCGTTTTTAAAGAAATTTAGCGATTGCCAAT